TTACAGATGAGGGAACTAAGGCAAACAGGGTTAAATGATTTGCCCAGGATCACACAGCTAATAAGTGTCTGAAGTCAGATTTGAACTCAGGAAGATGAGTCGTTCTGATTCCAGGCTGGGCAGTCTATCCACTGTGCCACCTAGTTGCATCCACAATAGGTTAACAGAGGTTTATTTGAGTTAGAAAAATATAATAATGAATGAAACAGATCATATTTTGTTTAAATTGTAACACCAATTCAATTGGGAGCTGTTGAGTGGAAAAATAAATGATAGGTACATTATAGAAATTATTTTGGCAGGGGTGTGAAGGACAAAAGAAGCGGGAAGAGACTGGACTTCCATAGATGATACCCAGGAGTTTGTTATGGTAATCCAGGCAAGAGGTGATAAGAGCCTGGGATAGAAGACTAAGAGAACAGTTCCTTCGAGAAGGAAGTCTAAAGAGGATCATTGTAAATATACAGGGAATTCACCAACAACTTAGATTTTTAAGACATGCTGAATTAGGGTAGTTAAATGGAATACAATCATAAAAGCATGGTCTACTCCAATAAGCAGAGTATCCAAATTGCTAAATCTCAGAATGTGCTAAGACTGGCCAGGAAAATTAAGGATATTTTAAAAAGTCTTTTAAAGCTATATGGAAAAAGAGGAGGTACAAAGAAAGGATGGGACCATTGCTTGTGGTAGATGGGACAATGATAACATAAAGAAAAGTAGGGCCACTCATTTTGATTTTTTGATTGGCTTTGTTTTGTCTTGGTTTCCTGTCAAGGAGGTGGTCTTTAGACCAAAAAGGGCAAAATAAAAATTGCTAATAGAGGAATTGATTCGCCGGCCAGGTAAGATGGGTAGTAAGAGAGCCCCTAGCAACCTTGATGAATTCAAGCCAGCTGACTCAAAGGAACTACTCTAACCCTGGGTGCTGAAAGAACTGGCAGTAATATTTGAAAGATTGTTAAAAACTAGAGATATTACCATTTTGAAGAAGGGTAAATGTGTCAATTTTCTTTCTTTTAAAAATTTTAAATAACATTTTATTTTCTCCCAATTATGTGTAAAGACATTTTTAATACTCATTTTCAAAAATTGAGTTCCAAATTTTCTCCCTCCCTCCTTTCTCACATCAGTTTTCAAAGGACAGAGAATAGAACTTCCAAACTATACCCCGAATGAACTTGACTTCAATTTCTGGGAAAATTCTAGAGTATATTATTAAGAAGATGGTGATTAACTAGAAAAGGAAGTAATAATCACAAAGAGGCAGCATGGTTTCATCAAGAACAAGTCGTACCAAACTACTTTATTACCTTTTTTGATGGGGTTACTGAACTGGTAGATCAGGAAAATGTTGTAGATATAGTTTACCTAGATTTTAACAATGCATTTGATAAACTATCATACTATTATTGTAGAGTAGATGGAGAAATGTGGGCAAAATTATAGTACAATTAAGTGTAGTATCGTATACTTAGATAATACCATCTAAACCTGGCCCAAGAGTAGTCATTAATGGTTTAATGTCAACACGGAAAGGGATCTCCATTGGATTTCACCAAGATTCTATGCTTTGCCCTACTCTTTTTTGTTGGGGGAATACAATTGAGGTTAAATGACTTGCACAGGATCACATAGCTAGTGTCTGAGGCTGGATCTGAACTCAGTCCTCCTGACTACAGGGCCTGTGCTCTATCCACTGTGCCACCTACCTGCCCATTTTGCCCTACTCTCTTTAATCTTTTTATTAAGGATTTGGATAGAAGCATATATGGAATACTTATCAAATTTGTCGATGATAAACCTGTGTGGAATACTTAATATACTGGATGACAGAATCAGGATTTTTAAAAAATGTCACAGACTAAATAGAAAAATTGACCAAATCAAATATAACATTTAGCAGGGATAAATGTAAAGTCTCGTACTTGTATTCAGAAACATTCCCAAGCACAAAATGGTGAGTTATGGCTAGACAGTTCATCTGAAAAAAGATTTGAGAATTTTAGGGGACTGCAAAGTGAATATAAGACAGCAGTTTAATATGGTATCCATGAAAGCTAATGCAACCTTGAGCTGCGTTGAGAGCCATGGTATCCAGAAAGAAGGAGATGATCATCCTGCTATTCTCTGCCTTTGTCAGTCCCCATATGGAGTGTTGTGGTTCAGGTCTGGGTGCCACATTTTAGGAACTTTGATAAGCTGTAGATGATCTAGACAAGGGCAACCAGGGTGGTGATGGGGTTCAGTTTCATGTTGTAAGAAATCAATTGGGGGCAGCTAAATGGCATAATGGATAGCGCACTGGCCCTGATGTCAGGAGGACCTGAGTTCAAATCTGGATTCAGACCAAATACTTGACACTTACTAACTGTGTGACCCTGGGCAAGTCACTTAACCCCAATTGCCTAAAAATAAAAAAAATAAAAGAGAGATCAGTTGAAGGGATTTGGGGCTTTTAGCCTAAAAAATTAGAAAAAAAAAACATAGGGAACATATGATAGCTGTTTTAAAGTTTTTAAAGAGCCGTCATTTGGAAGAGAGGTTAGTTAGACTTGTTCTCTTTGGTTCTAGAGGGCAGAACTAAGAATAGCATGTGGTAGTTACAAAGAAGGCTTGAGGTAAGGGAAAATGTTCTCACAAAGCTATCCAAAAGTGGGCTGCCCCTGGAGATAGTGGGTTTTCCTTTACTTGAGATCTTTAAGCAAAGACTGGAAAACACTTGGATTGAATGTGTTGCAGAGGGAATCCTGTTTCAGGTGTGGTTTGACTTGATGGTCTCTGAAGTCTCTTCCACCTCTAAAATGATATGATCTTCCATCATTTCCCAAATCCAAGACATAAGTTCTCTTGATCTAAAACCAGGACATTCGTTAAAGTGTTTTTCTGACATGTGATTGAATAATAAACTGGGTTAAGCGCATTCCTTGTGGAAGATTGTCTCTCTGATTTCTTTCTTTCTGATACTAGCTAAAATATTGCACTTGTTCTATAGGTGATTTTATTGTGGTCACAATCAAAAAGCACCAAATAAAGTGTACTGCTCAAATGTTGCTCTGCAACATTGCACAACCCCAAAATAGATGCTGGCTGGCATCCACCCTACTTGTCACTGTTGGCTAACTGACCTGCCCCATAAATAGCTCAGTGTTATGTGATCAGATAACTACAACTTTAGAAAAGTAAAGTTTGTTTCCTGACACATGGGTGTACTATCTGTAGTATTTAAGAAATCTATAGCAAATACTCCAGATCTTAGCTGTAGCAGATCACTTTCCTTAGAGTCCCTGCTGTAGGGTTGCCTGAGGTCCTTTTTACTCTTTGGTAACTAAATTCCCTTGGATGGGCTCTAAAACAAATAGACCTGCCATGTATAAAATTCCATTCCATAGTAAATGGGGGTATAGTAAGATTCCATTTGAGCTTTTGTACAGGGAAGTGATTTGGTGCTTTGCTCTCTGAGATCTGGACTGATCCAATTTATGATGATGATTGGGATGTAGACTTTGTGATGATGTTGAGATGGAGACTGTGACAACTTAGGCAAACAAAGGGCTCATCCTGATTTTTTGGTAAAGTAGCACATTTTCTAAAATTGAGAAAGTCTTTTTTTTTAAAATTTATATTTTGAGTCAGCTAGGTGGCACAGTGGATACAGCACCAGCCCTAGAGTCAGGAGGACCTGAGTTCAAGTCTGGCCTCAGACACTTGACACTAGCTGTATGACCCTGGGCAAGTCACTTAACCCCGATTGCCTCACCCAAAAAAAATAATAATATTTTTTCCCAATTACATGTAAAAACAATTTTTAACATTCATTTTTTAAAATTTTGAGTTCCAAATTCTCTCCCCTCTCCCCTTCCCTCTCCCGGAGGTAGTAAGCAGTTTGGTATAGAGTTATACATGTGCAATCAAACAAAACATATGAAATTGAAAACATCTTAAAGAATGATATTAATCTGCTTACTTTTGATCCATTATGTGTTTTCTCAGTGTCCTCCCTGACTTTGATTGGAATGTGCTGATAATGACAGTAGCTTTTAAAGTGTATAATGTATCTGAGCATTGCTTCAGAAATGTCATGGCATTAGACTATGAAGTTGAATCTTGGAGTGTTTTCCCCAAATGTACATGTTTAGAATGCAGAGTCCTATATGTTACTGTCCTGTGAAGGTTAGCAAACTATATAATATTTTGTTAGACACCAGGCATCAGACATTTTCACCCTTCTTTTCATGAGTTTGCTTTAAAGTAATTCTTTATTATATTCACTAAAATTAAAGGATCCCAAACCCCTACCATTGTTTATTATTTCCCTTTATGATGTTGAATTGTCACTTTATTTTGTCAGCATTGGGAGGAGGAGCAGAAAGAGTAGCTATTAAATAGTGACTATTGAGGCTGCTAGTTGGCTCAGTGGATAGAGCTCTGGCCTTGGAGTCAGGAGGACCTGAGTTCAAATGTGACCTCAGATACTTGACACTTACTAGCTGTGTGACCCTGGGCGAGTCACTTAACCCCAATTGCCTCACCAAACAAAAAGTTAAAAAAAAATAGTGACTATTAAAGATTGTTCCATGCTCTATACCAAGGGTGAGGCCTTTTGACTGAGTCCAAGTTTTACAGGACAAATCCTTTTATTAAGAGGATTTGTTCTGTGAAGTTTGGATTCAGTCGAAGGGTTACATTTGAGGACCTAGAGGGCCATATGTGGCCTCAAGGCCCCAGGTTGTCCACCCCTGCTCTATACTGATACTTTTGTTCTTGGAATTTCCCAGACAGCAGCTACATTAACCGTGTCAGACAGCTACTTATGACCACTCTAAGTGACATTAGTGTCAAATTGTGATAAAATCCACAATTAATGTTGAAATCTTTCAAAAATGATCACTAGACCACTGGGAGGGGTTATAACTATGACTACTTTACAACTTCTCTTGCAGTGTTAAATCTTTTGACAATTTTTAAAAACAGCAACAAAATGTGGTTGGTTTATTTAGCAGGTTGTGAACAATGGCTGTGTGGATCCAAGCACAGCAGCTCCAGGGAGATGCCCTCCACCAGATGCAAGCATTATATGGCCAGCACTTCCCCATTGAAGTGCGGCATTACTTATCCCAGTGGATTGAGAGCCAAGCTTGGTATGTAGACTGGTTTTACTTATATTTTAATAACTTGGGGTACTTGGTGGGAGTCTAAAATGTGGATCTTTGCTTAAGAAGAATGGGGGAAAGTTAATTTAGGCTTTAAAATTCTATCTTTATGCAGAGAGTGGCTGGGGGTGGGAGGGGGGAGGGGAGGAGTTGGAGTCTTTGGGAATTTTTCTTCAGGGTATCAGCTAAAAGAATTAGAACATTATTTTTGTTGTGGAGTCTTTCCAGTCTTGGTCTGACTCTCCGTGAGCCCGTTTGGGGTTTTCTTGGCAAAGATAATGGAGTGGTTTACCTCCAGATCGTTTTACAAATGAAGAACTGAGGCAAACAAGATTAAGTGACTTGCCCAGCTGGTAAGTACCTGAGGTGGGATCTGAACTCAGGTCCTCCTGACTCTAGGGCCAGTGTTCTATCCATTGCACCACCTAGCTGCCTGTTAGACCATTGTGAGTGAATATCCACCATCAAGTTATGTTGTGAACTCCCAAAGGGTACAAAACATTGTATGAGTGCTTGAGTCAGCATTTTAAAAAAAAGGGGTGTGGCTTTTGTCCTAATGAGATGGATAAAACTGACAAACTTGTATCCAGCAGAAATTGCCACAAAATGTAAGCTGCCCTCTCTTGGGTGATGTCTTTGTCAAACCAAATATTTTAGGCTTAAAACAGTAGTGAATTGAAGTGTTCTTAGAGATTTTAAAATACAATCCATCCTGGTTGCCATATTAGTGTAGGTGCCTCAGGCCTCTCCTGTTTGACAGGCCTAGGGAAGAACCATTCTCCTTGCTACCGTATACATACTTAGCTGCATTTCAGTGATTGTGCCGCTGAATGGGTAGAAGTGACATGTTAGCAGACTTCCATTTAGAAAAGTGACATTGGACAACTCCAAAAAGTCTAAGAGTTTTCTGTGCAGCTTTAAAATGCCTTAGGCATGAAATCAGCTGTGAGTTCATAAAATCTAAGCATGTCAAATGTACTTTGCTTACTATCTCTCCTGATTTTTTTCACTTAGATGCTTTTTTAGGGGCAGGATGTTACATTTTTTTTTTTGTGGGAGGTTAATGGGAAAAGGCAGAGAAACAATAGCAAGTTACTGTTCAAATTTTAAAGCTCCACTAAGCAGTTTTACCATATAATCTCCGTATTAAATGACTATTAAAGAATTGTTTTAGGTTCATAATACAGCTTTAGTCTTACGTTGTATGAGTGATTATATCAGTATAAGAATTTTAATCAGAAAATCTTAGGTCCTTCAGGTCTAAACAGGACAAGTAAAACTGTTCATATCACTAAAATAAGTCAATAACTCAGTTCTGAATTGAGGCAAATTAGATTTCTCCAAGTTTTATTCAAAGTCTAAAAAAAACAAAGCAAAGCGAAACATCTGGAGAGTTATGGGGAGCCTCAAGCAGGGAGATTCTGCCAAATTCAGCATTCTTAATACCTGTTGTTCACTTTTATTTAATGCATCTAATACACCTTTTTAAAGTTTGCCTTTCCTTCCTGTTTTTCCCCAATGTTGGTTTTGGCATATTATTTGTTAGAGTAAACAACCAGATCTTTGAATACCTCTGTTTATGCCTACATTTGAAAACAGATGCATTAGCTTCAGGGGATGGGCAGTGAAATACAGTAGTACTAGGTCACTTGTTTGGATCCAGCCCAGGTCAGTTGTGACTGAGAGTTATTTCAATCTGACAGCTGTTTGGTTCCTTCTGTGAATGGAGTTAGCAATTTTAGTACTGTCTAGAAGCAATTGTTCAGAGTTACCAAAATAAACAAACAAAATCCAATTCTAAGATCCTACACTTTCCATTTTTTAAAGTAGCTCATTCATTCATTCAGCATTCACCTACTGTGTGCCAGGCACTGGGAATAAAAAAAAGAAGGAGTTCCTGCTTTCAAATAACTTACATTCTCTTTTTGGAGGTAACATTGTGTACACATTTAATAAATAGACAAAATAATTTCTAGGAAGGAGGGAATCAGGAGTAGGCCTCCTGTAGGAGGTGGTATTTGAACTGAACCTCATTCTCCATGACTGGAGTATTAACACTGCCCAGGTCTATAACTTGTGCTATTGGTGGCTCCCTTTCACAAACATTATGGGTATCTTCTTCCTAGATGGTTTGTTTCCAATGTTTAATGGAAACAATACAGAGAAGTTGACCTACTGTGTTTGTGTTGCTGTTCCTTCCCTGTCTCTTCTTGAGAAATATGATGTCTGATCCCTAGTTCTGACAGAGAAATAAATCACTGTGAGGGGAGGGATTGCAAGATTGCCTCCAGGCAGTCCTTTATTTAGACTCTGGAAAAGTGGTACATTCAGTTGGGGGTATTGCTGTATTTAGTCAAAATTGAGAGGACCACATACCTGTCAAAGTTCCAGAACTCTTATTGTCCATAAAGTACATAGAAATTCTCCTTTCCCCTTCGTGTACAAGAGCTAGCAAAAGCACCCCAGAGCAGACCTGTGGAAGAAAGGACGAGGGACAGTGCTTTGTAAAAGGAAAGAAAAGAGGGGCAGCTAGGTGGCGCAGTGGATAGAGCTCTGGCCTTGCAGTCAGGAGGACCTGAGTTCAAATTTGGCCTCAGACACTTGACACTTACTGGCCGTGTGAGCTTGGGAAAGTCACTTAACCCCGTTTGCCTCGCCGAAAAAGCAAAAAAAAAAAAAAAGGAAAGAAACTAGACTATACAGTCCAGCCAAGGTAATCAGCGAATGAGGATTAGATGAATATAGGCATCTAGTTGATTTACATGGAGCAGGTTCCTGAAGATTTCCTGATTGGGAGCAAAGAGGCAGTTCATTTATTTATTTTTAAAGATATTTTGCTGTGAGTTGAGGTTTTAAAATGCACAAGTAGAGTGCATGTGTGTATACACATATGTGTAATTTTTTTCCCCCAGGGACTCAATAGATCTTGATAATCCACAGGAGAACATTAAAGCTACTCAGCTCCTGGAGGGTCTGATCCAGGAGCTACAGAAGAAGGCTGAACACCAAGTGGGGGAAGATGGGTTTTTACTGAAGATCAAGCTAGGGCATTATGCCACTCAGCTTCAGGTGGGTGTGAAATCTGGGTGTAGTTATTCCTTCCTCCCAGGGAAATCTGTTACTTCTTTTAGAGCTCTCATCCCAAAGGGAAATTAGATTTGCTTCTTTATCTCATTGTTTCTTTGTGTCATGTCTAAGAGGTACCAGTTGTAAATGGACTCTAGATTTGTTGATGTTTACTCTATTTAGAAAAGGATATCTGTTTTTGTAACTTACTCTGTACCCTAGATTGGCATCCATTGATCAGGACACATATTTGCTTATTAATGTGGTTGCATTGTTAAAAGTGCTTCCATTATGAGTTCTTTTCAGAGCACAAAATCAGAGGTGTGAGGTTGCTAGTAATAATAAATAATAAAAACTAATAAATAATTAAAAACACTAATAAAAACTTACCTTTCTCAGAGGATAAATAGATCCCTATAGCTTAGACAAGGCCTACTTGATATTTGATGTTTGTTTCTTTCAGAACACTTATGACCGCTGCCCCATGGAATTGGTCCGCTGCATCCGACACATATTATATAATGAACAGAGGCTGGTCCGAGAAGCTACCAACGTGAGTGTCCCAGGGAGCTCTGTAAGAGCATCCTCTCTTGTCAGACTCTCTCTGTGTCACTGTGTGACTCTTGAGTGAATTTCTCCTATGCACAGAAGACTGTCCCAAGGGCTACTGAAGGGATACCAAAGAAATAGGAAAGATGATTCTTGACCCCAACTAACTTAACATCTGATAAGAGACATAGGACACCCATATATCAGATGATTTTGTTTTAATAATAAAGCATCACAAACAGGGATAAATGAATAAAGTTCAAAGAGAGTGAGAAATTCTGAGGCTCAAGTTTTGATGAATCGCGTAATGGTTGAAGATGCTGTTGACTGATTCTGAGCCAGGCCTTTTGAAAAACATTTTAAGTTTTTGTTGATATCATTTGGTTTTGTATCACCTTCATTTCTAAATATATCCTTCCCTCTACCTTCCCCTAAACTGTGGACCGTCCCCTGGAAGAGAGTGGGGAAAAGTCAGTCAGCAAGGTTTTTTTTATTAATTTTTTTTTGTTATCAACATTCACTTCCATAAGCTTTTGAGTTTTAAATTTTCTCCCCTTTCCTCCACACCTCCCTCCCCAAGATGGTGTGCAGCCTAATATAGGCTTTACATATACATTCCTATTAAACATATTTTCACATTAGTCATGTTGTAA